ATTTTGAAGTATTAGAACTTTAATTTTAATAAAAATTAAATATTTTAATTTTAATAAAAATTAAATATTTTAATTTTATTAACTATCCGAATAATTTTTAAAATCATTACTTTAATCTTAATTATAATACATTCTCGCTATCTTATAATTATCTTAACTTGCTTAAATACTCTATTAAATTAAAAAATTATTAAAATCTTTTTCATCGATACTCAATTACCCAATTAACTATTATAATTTCATAACTTTTCCTTAAATTTATATAACCAAAGATATATATTGTAATTAATAATTTTATAAGTTATAATTTTGTTAATGTTAACACAAAATAAAAAATAAATATATTTATATTTAAAGTGTGTGTATATATATATACACACACACATGGACGCATATAAAAAATATTTTAATATACATAATAGTAATTATATTTCTTATAAATGAATATATTATATTAAATGACATTACAAGTTAATTAACAATTATAATTTTATGAATTAATTTAATTAACTATACAAGTTTATCTTTAATTATATAAAATTAAAAAAATTAAGTTTTATAACTATTCTACCCTCACAACTTCTCTTTTTAAGGTTATATAACTTTATGTAAAGTAAGCTATACATATATATATATATATATATTATAATTAATAATTTTATAAACTATAATTTTATAACGTTAATACAAAAAAAGTAAATATATTTATATTTAAAATATATATATACTAAAAATATTTTAATATATATAATAGTAATTATATTTTTTATAAATTAACATAATATATAAACTATATATATTAAAAGACATTACAAGTTAATTAATAATAATAGTTTTATAAATTAATTTAATTAATTGTATGAATTTGTTCTTAATTTCATGAAATTAAAAAAAATACTTAAGTTCCAAAACTATTCTAATCTCATAAGTTTTCTTTAAGTATATATATTATAAAATTATATAAATAATGGTATATATATTATAATTAATAATTTTATAAATCATAATTTTTTAATATTAACACAAAATAAAAAATAAATATATTTATATTAAAAGTATATATATAATAATAATTATATTCTTTATAATATAATATAATATTCATATTATTCAAACAAAATTATCAATCTAATAATTTTTTAATTTAAATATATTAATGTCATCATATTAATAATCAAAGTAACCATACTTTTTACATATTTATTAATTTTTAACAAAAAAAATACTTGTAAAGTTGGTAAAAATTGAAAATTTTTAATTTAATTATTAAAATAATAATAAAATATTTATAAATAATAATCGAATTCGAATAACGGGATACCTAAGGGGTGGTAATGAACCTGATACGAGTAGTGCAATAACTACCCGGATCCGTCTCAAACCCGTTATAGAATACCCTAGCTCTATATAATCAAGTCAGTTATCTACAAGTACCCTATAACCAGGTACCCATTGCCATCCCTAGTCTTAAGAGCCCTTCCAAGAAAGAAGAAAGAGGTGGCATGCTGGAAGAAGGAAAGAAAGAGAGATACGCTAGAGCACACAAAGCATTACACGCAAGGATGAACCTTAAATTGCAGTCATGGCTGCCCTTGGACCTCATCTGCCAATTGAGTGTGGCCGATCATGAGCTAGCAGCCAATTCATAAAATTGCATCCTAAGTGAGGAGAGCACAATTCATAAATAGAATGATAAGAACTAGCTGCAAGTTACAGCAGCACTTGAATATCAAAACGAATGTTGTACATGACTTGATGCAGAACCCGGCAAACTGTAGAACCATACATCAATGACCTTTATGGTGATAAAGCGAGCCTACCACTCAGGAAGTATCACATGGTAAATTGTCTGTCCCTCAAGCTTCCCTCTCGTTTCCACTAGGATTCCAACTTCAAATTTGCAGAATCACGCCATCTCGGATGAACTTCAGCAACAATCCAAGAGACTTTGTACTTACTAGCGCTTAGCAGCTGATGTGAACATGTTACAATTCAACTATGGGTGTGCAAACTGAAATTCTTGAGATAAGGAACCAAAATTTAATTGACAATCACCGTACACACAGTTGATAAACAATGGATAAAACTAGAAAGAAAACTGCAATTTTATTTTTTTAATTTTCAGTCAGAATCAGAGTCATGATTCCAAGAAGATCGCACAGTTTTGCGCCTACTCTCATCATAATCATTATCGTCATCATCTTCATCACTTTTCTTCTCACTAATTATACCTGTAAAATGATATATATCTGGTTTCAGATACTGCTACGTGCTGTAAATTGCAAGTTGAACTAGACAAAGGCATTACCTTTCTTTATCAGTACAACCTCAAGCGTCCTAGTAGTAAAATCATCTTTCCCTCCAAGATCTTGAAACCCAACCAACCTATCTACTGCAATCCCTTTTCTGCCCGAAAATTGCAACTCTTCAAGTTAGACTGATGTGATAAAAGAGATATCATTGTTTTTGTATCTTAATATTTAATGTCCAAACTCAACAGAAAGATTATTAGGATGTGGATTCGGCATCTACAGCTGGCTAATCCTTCAATATTTAACTGGGCTGGTCACTATCCCTTATCAACAATAATTGCTTAATTCTTTGGGTAGAAGAAAGAAAATATAGAAAATTATAAAGCAACTTAACAATAATGAAGCATAAATCTTCTTTCTCTGCATCCTATAAATGTAGCTTTTTTCTTTCTCTTCCTTTCCCTTTAAGGAACAAAAAGAGTCAAATGGCATAAGAGATTGCTGACCTGAAAATTATAACACAAGGCAAAGTTTGGACTGCAAGTTTGGTAACAAAGAAAGGTGCATTCTGCCACAAAAATCAGAATCTTATGTTGGCAATGAAGAAAAACAAAACCAGAATTAAATGTGAAAAATCTCTATCAAGATTTAGAAACAGCAAAATCTTGTTGCTGCTCACCTCAGCATCCAGCTTGACGAACTTTGTATCCAGATGCTTAGGTGCAAGGGCTTTCAAATGCTTATCCATTATCCTGTATTATCCATATATATTACCCAATAAGTCTGACACATTTACGATTGAGCATGCACCGTGTGTTCATGCAAGCATGTAGGCCATTTCGTGTGTATGCGTATGTGTTACAGACAGAGAGAAAAGTAAAAACTTTACTTGCATCGATAGAACTCCTTGTGGTAGAAGTGGCAAATCACTTTCTCAGTTCCAGTGACTTCACCCAAGAAATCTCCTTCACTAATCTCCCTATACTCTCCATGCCCTTGCCTCTTTAGTGCTTCTCGCTTCTCAGCTTCTTTCTATTCAAATAAATCCTACTGTGATTACCGAGTTCAGAATGCCTATCGCCAGATTGATAGACCATATTTCATCATGTCAAATTAAGAATTACTATTAAAGTTCTAACCTTGAGAGCTGCAATCCTGTCAGCATGCAATTTTTCCAGCTCGGGATCCTGTATACAAGAAGCACATGAGCCTACATAAAAGCAGAGTAACATTGTCTAGAACAAAGATGCTCCCTATATACAGAACGCATTAAAAGACTTACATCCATCAGCTCATCAAGGTCAACCTCCTGGTTAACTGAAGTTGATGACTGTGCCTTCTCTTGGGCAAGCAGTTCCTGTATGATCATTACATTGATAAATTAAACACATAACACTTGGCATAACTATTTCATTACCCGCTAACTTGGGCAATCAGACATCAAACTCTCACAGCTAAGTCATGCCAATCTGTCTTAGACCCTTTTAAAATTATCATCGGATCAATCAAAATCATAAATTTACAGTTCCCAGCCAACCCTTCGAAGCCCCATTTTTAAATCCAAAGCAGAATCTTTGAACTGTGCGATATAAAAAAAGAATATAGAATTTGAACAACCATGAATTCAATTACATAACTTTACGCACTATCTACAAGCACAAGTTAATCTTTCCAACTTCTCTAACAAAATTACAGTCACCTCAGTGACTTAATCAGTAAAAATCTGCCCAAAAAGGCAAGGAGCTAAATCCAATAACAAAAGCAAAAAGAGCAAAAAAAAAAAACCCATCAAAAAAGAACCCAAAATGAAGAGAAAAATGAGGGAAGAACACAACCTTTTGATAGTCACGAGCAGCTGCTGCCATTACATTCCCAAATGCTAAATTAGACAAAGTCGATTTAACTGAATTCGGATCCATTTCTCTTCCTCTGAAAGACTACAAAGAACAAAACAAACGCATTAACATAAAAAAAAAACGAGTCTTTGATGGAAATGATTTTGAAGCAAGCAGATCCGGACTAGAATTTCACCTACCGGATGTTTTGGACAAGACTGAAACAAAATCGAAACGAAGAAGAATGGAATCTTGAAAAAAAAAATTTGAAGGAAGACAAAGGTCTAAGCCGAAACGCACCGGCTTGGACGGTGGAGTTTCTGTGGGCCTGAGCAGCCTAAATCTTACCTCCTAAAAGCCCAAACTTTTAGTATCCAAATCCAATCTAGGCCCAAAACTTGGAATGTCTTGAGACTCAATGCAGGCCCATAGATTCATAGACACCTCTATCTTTTTTCAGGTCTTAAATCTTTACAATTCTTGAACACAAGTTATTATTGACATTTTAGATGAAAGTTTTAAAAAGTTTTGGCAGTAATGAAAACAATTTAAGATATATTGCTATTACGATTGAGACCCTCGCTTGTTTATGTATTAACTATAAATAATTTTTTAATTAGTATATTTTTTTAAAAGTAAATATATTGATACAAACTTGATCATTTATAATTAAAATTTAAAACACGTCATATTATCTTGATCATTTATATTTAATACTTAAAAACATATAAAAAGATATCATAATAAATACAATCTCTCTAGGTTGTTGATATTTTGGCCCCAACTCATCCTTGGAGGGGGCATTGATCATTTTTGTTTTTCTCTTATAAAACTCTCTTATTCTTACCACCACAATGGTTAAAACATACCACACAATTTTGTTATTAGATAGTATATGCTCGGAAATATGGTGTTATCTCTCCAATAACTGCATCTGCAGCAATTTGAGTTTGAGCACAGTGGTTCAAATGTTTGATCAATCAATGGTTCTGGTCATTACAAAGAAGAAAGAAAACAGACCAAAGGTTCCTCTTCACATGAATGGCATTAGTTACTAAACTTTTTAGGTCCTACGCTCTTCCTTGGTCCAGACTCCGCCTCTGAATCCAGTATCCTCGATTGGGAAAGATATTAGCTCTGGACACCAACTAACATTCACGATTTTCAAGGTTGGCATCACCTGTTGCAACATCCCCCACTGCAGTTCCAAATCTGATAAAGCTTCCAACAATAAACCTTCGATTTTCCAGACAATGTTGTTGTCACCCCGAAAGTTCTGATGCATGCTTGCGAGGTTTCCGAATGAGATTGAGAGGTATTTGAGCAGAGGGAGTGCTATAGGGTTGAGCCATATTGGACTTATCTTGCCTGGATAGAACTGCAGAGATAGCTCATGGAGTTGCTGCGGAGGACACAGTTTGTCGAGTTTTGAGGTGAGATCACTCCCATGACTGTCAAAGCAACTTACGGACAGATTTTCCAAATCTTGAAGGTTCACCATTGCATTGACCTCACTGTCTCCAACTTCATCACCATGAGTTAGAAGCAATCCGAGTGTCCTCAATTGTGTCAAATTTCTTAATTCTCCAAGCCGACAACCATGATCAGATCTTGCAGGTCTAAAACCCAACAAAACTTCAAGGTTTGACAGCCTTCCCAAGCCTTTTGGCAAGCATTGAAGTGAACCGCAATGACTTACATTTAAGACCTTGAGCTTCTTGAAAGTGATGAGGTAATGAGGCAAAATTTTCAAGTTTTGACAATAACTCACATCCAAAATCTGAAGGTTACTGAGCTTTTCTAATGAAGCTGGGAGTTCAATCAAAGGATGAGTGTTGCTTAAACTCAGATAAGTTAGATGTTGGAGTGAGCCAATATGATATAGCAGGCTACTGAGAGGCAATTCAAAGATTGATTTGGAAACATCCAAAACTCTCAAGCACCGACATTCACTGAATTTTTTTGCGATGCTTGATTCAATCTTGTTCACCTCGCTGGTTTTGGTTGTGGATACTAAACCCCTCAACTTTTGATTTTCAGAAAGTTGGCCCTTATCCATTTTGTTACTAATTCCCACATGGCGGCAATTGAGACTTTTCTGTGTGTAAAATGCATCCTCTTCTGCTATTTTAAGGACCAAATCACGAACCATATCATGCATTTTGCAAGTAGAAATTGTTCCATGATAATTCTTGTCAACTACCTCTATCAAACACCGATTTGTTAACCCCGAGAAACAATCTTCTCCAGCATCAGTTGAAGATCTACCACTCCTCAATGGGACAAATCCCTCGCCAATCCAACAATGAACTAGTTGTTCTTTTGTTATGACACAGTCCTCTGGATAAAGAGAGAAGCTGAGGAAGCATGACTTCAAGTAAGAAGGGAGCTCATCATAGCTCAATTGCAGTGAGGCCATCACCGAGTTATCATTTTCTGTCAATTCATCTCGAAAATGGTTCGCAATTCGCCTCCATTCACGATAATATGGAGTTTTACAAAGCATCATTCCTCCGACAGCTTTGATGGCCAAGGGAAGACCCTTACACTTCTCTACAATCTCTTTTCCAACATCCTCCAGATCATGGTAAATGCAATTTCCATCACTTGCAGCAAAAGCTATTTTTCGAAATAGAAGCCAACTATAATCTTCATTTAGGAATTTAGGCCTATGGATCCTTACTTCCTGCACTCCCATCTTCCGTGAAACCTTTTCAATCCTCGTTGTGATGATGACACAACTACCATTTCCTTTGGGCAGCCCCTGACAAATTCGTTGCCACCAGACAACATCTTCACTCCACACATCATCCATCACAATCAAATACCTCTTCCCCAAGAGATATTGGTTTATTTTCTTCAACAGTTCATTTGCATCATCCCTGGCACTTGCCTCTCCCAAAGTATTCAACATACTTCTCATAATTTGTTCCTCAGTGAATGTTTGAGAAACAGAAACCCACACTCTTCTGTCAAAGTGACGCTCTATTTCTCTCTCACTGAAAACTTTCTGAGCAATTGTTGTCTTGCCCAAGCCACCCATGCCAACAACTCCAATTGCTAGTATGTCCTGAGTCCCGTTACTAGCCGCTTCAAATATCCAGTCTTTAATCTTTTGAGTGTCAGCTTCCAGTCCAACCACTTGAGTGTGATCATACACCTGAGAGCTCCATCTGGGTATTTGCTCCTGTACATTTGTGACCTCTGGCTGGAACAAGAGAGGCCCTCCAAGCAAAGATGAGATGTTTTGTTTGATGCTGGTAATTTTCTCAATGATTTCCTTGAGACGCTTTCCACTTTGGTACTTGAAATGAAGCTTTGATGGAGAGAAACATGCTAACCAGCCTTGGGAGAATTGGTTGCCATCCCTTGATTGAAGTTGACAATCCGCTAGTATATCTTCAGATTCATAAATCAACTCTCTCAGATCAGCCAAGATCTTGCGTATAGATTGATTCTTCCTCTTCAGCCTATCTGAATCCATGAGGAAGCATTGCATCAATTGCAGCTCAGTTTGTAGTTTTTCAAACAGATCCCTGAATTCAGTCACATATCGGCCTTCCTCTGCAAGAGTTTTCAACAGCTTTTCCAAGAACACAGTGACCACTGCATCCGCCATGCTTTTCGCCTTTCACCTTGCAAAAAATAAAAATGACCCTATAATTTTGGAGCACTGGATAATCTAATTTGTTCAAGAGCTCAAAATGACCAAAAATTCTAATCCAAATGTATCGAGGTTAATGATGCTGCCAGCCACTAAATTTTCATAATGGACAACAACCTGTCAAACCAACATTCAAAGCTAAACATGGAAGTATGTATTCCAAAGCATCTTTTTTATGTTCACCGGGCTCTTCAATAGTAACCAAACAACTGCAATTATTAGAACAGAACCCTAATTTGACAAATAGGTCCGTCAACAGTCTTCCTTCCCTCACTAGGTTGAGAAGCTCGATCAATTACAACAAAATGTTAATGAAGTTTAATATAAGTTATGGGTCAAGTTAAGCATTAAAGCTAAGGGTTGACTTGCCCCTCTATGGCTGGATTCTTTAAGATTTCTCGGGGAAGTTCATACGGCCAGGAATTGCTCTATGTCTTTTCATGGCAAAATGGAGGATCAATCCAAAAGATAAAACTACTATTTCATGATCAAACATGAAAAGAAGAACAGTAGCAGTATGTTAATCAGCAGACACATGCAGGGAAAAGAACAGAGCAAAGGTTTACGATCAAAGCCTCAAAGCAAACTTACAGTTGAGGAATTCCTGGGAAGGCTTTGATTGCTTTTGGCGAAGAAAACCTATGGCTCCGGAGCTTGGTTCAAATTAAGGAACAGAAAACCCAATAATATATGAAAATTTTTGAAGAATTTTTAATCCTTTTCCAATGGTTTGTCCCTTGGATTTTCCAAAAAGAACAGCTCTCCAAGTTTGCATCATGAGGGCATAATGGTACACTCATGCAAGTTAGAGTCAACTACGCGTATATAGCCAAAGGCCTTGAAACTGAAAAGAAACTTCCATCCGCCATAGCAGTCGACTTCCTGCTGTCGTCCTGTAAATTACTTCGATTTTTCCTTGTTTCTTCAGTTGGGAAATAATAGTTTCTTTCTAGTTCTACGTCTTGGTCGTTGCCACAGTCGCATATTCTAACAATTTGGCTTTGTATTATCTTTTTCTTTTTGTTCCTTAGCCAAATTCTTTGAGAGACAACCCGACAAAGCATCTTGAAAATACTTGAAATCCTGAATAACATGCGTCGAATTGGGATTAAAAAAGGATTATATGCGTCGAATTTTCTGATAAAAAGATGCCTTATTTGCATTTTTCTTTTGAGCTTTGGACTCCAATCAGTTTGTTCTGATTCCAAGGGACTTCTCCTTGTATATGTATAAACTGTTGAAAATTAAAGAGCTTATGAACAAAATCCTGAGATTAGGCTAAAGGGTTTCAAAACTGAAATAGTATTTTATTGATAAAGAAGATTTCTGATGGAAATTTACTAGTACATTTTGTTTCAGTACTGTATTCTCCTCAACCCGCTTCTTCCGTTTGCCATTCTTTTTCTCTTCGTCGTCATAATTTTCCTTTTGTCCCCATCGGTTTTCAATCTCTTAATTCTCGATACTATATCATTCAGTCTTCTGATGGAGGGTGGAACTTCACCACCATCCGTTGCTTTGTTCTTGGTCTCATTGTCTTCATCCCTCTTGCGTTTAAGGAAGCTAACAAGACCTTGAAGAGCAAAATCAGCATCATCAGTTTTCATCAATTCCTCTGCTAACTCTGCTGGAGTTGCCTCTGTACTCTTTAGCAAGCCATCGATTTCTCCAAAGAAAGGGTTGTGTTTGCTGCTGATGTCTAAATAATTAGACGCTAAGAGCCTGAATCCGTCAGTGGTGCAGTAGGACATGTGGATGTGCATGTCCATTCGACCAGGACGCAACAGAGCAGGGTCAAGCCGATCCTTGTAGTTGGTTGTGAATACGATGATTCTTTCATCACCGCAGCTTGACCACAAACCATCGATGCAGTTCAGGATACCCGAAAGCGTCAACTGCTGTACATGAAAATTGTAAACCAAGGAAAGAACATTTTAGTCCGCAAAAGCAATGTCTTAACATGTTCATGAACAACTACTAAAACAAGTAAAATTACAAGGTTCTTAGTCATGCCTTTTAGGTCTCTCTTCTAGAACATAATTTCTCTTTTGTGTAATTGAAATGTTGTTCAAACTATCATAATTTCGTGGTTTATCCATGATCGTCAGGTAGTTCTAAAAGGAAAATCTGGGGTTCTGCTGACAGCCAGCAACACAATTTGCCTAAATCGGAGCCAAAATAGTAAATAATTCTTAGTTACAAAAATTTGCAAGGAGTGTACATGTACATGTAAATGATAATTAAATGGTCAACAATCAAAAGTTCTTAAGTATTCGGTTATTGGAATGTGAAAAAAGTGCTTACCCCAGATTTAGCTGGTTCCTGTTTGTTTTTCTTTCCAATTTGTCGTCCAAGAACCTCAGAGCTGCAATCTATGTCTTCAATCAACAGTATAGACCGGTTACTCGTTGACAGCAGTGTCCTCCTTAACTCAGCATCAGAACGTACACTGCTGAGCCCCAAATCATATATATCAAACTTGAGATAATTTGCCATGGCAGCAACCAAACTGGATTTACCAGTACCAGGAGGACCAAATAGCAAGTAACCTCTTTTCCAAGCTTTCCCAACTTTCTTATAAAACTCTTTCCTCCTTAGAAACCTCTCCAAATCATCAATGATCATCTTCTTCAGATCCGGGTCCATAGCCAATGTATCAAAAGTAGCTGGGTGCTCCAAGATTATGGAACCCCAAGAACCTCTTCTGTCATGGTCGTCATCACTGAATGGACATTGACGGCTATAAAGCTTTATCATTCGGTCTTGATTTCTAATCTCCTCAGCTTTAACCAAAACGTAAGGTAAGTAAAAACCCAATACTTTTTCTCTATGCTTCTTGTTGAAGCTGAGTTCGAATAGTCTTTTCTCTCCCGAGTGAGGTTTCTGACCTTCCGTGCAGACAAGCCTCCATGTTAGTTTAACATCTTCGAATTGATCAACAACTGTTTCCCCCTTCTCGATAGCAATTGTAAAATGTTTCTGTTTTCTGGTTTTGCTGACGTTGAGGCGCTCTGTTTTGGGGCTGATCTTGGTGCTAAGATAGAGCTCAGCTGCTTCATAAACTTGGTTCTTAGTCATGCCACATTTCTCATCGATAGCGAGAGTGAGGTTAGGCGATAGAGGAGTGAAGAAGTAGCGAAGTGTAGTAAAAAGATAGGATCTGAGTTGGTGGGGAATCAGTTCATTGGCCATGGACCGGACCAGCATCATGGATCCTGCAAACGACGCATAGGCAGAGAACAGTGTGGATGTAGTCTTGGAAATTTCTGACGAAGAAAACATGGAAGCCATTTGTGGAATCAAAAGCCAAGAAGCAAAGAGTTCAGAGCTTGGGTGGGAAAGGATGACTAAGACCCCGAGAGCCTGTTTTTATAGGCTAATTTCTAATGTCAGAATCAGTAGTTTTCTTCATCCATGTTATGGTTTAAGTAGGATAGTTTAATTATAATTAACTTAGTATACCTTGCAAAGTAAATCTTTAAATTTAGTTAATAGTAAATATTTAAATTTAGAGAGTGAATTGATTATACATGAGATAAAGGTTTATAAGTTATAAGATTATTTTTGTAATCTTTTTATTTATTTTTTAATAGAATTTTTCTTTTGCTGTGCTTGTAAATTGTTGTGTTCTTGGACAACACTTTGCGTAATTTTTACAACAATCCTTTGGCGCTAAGAAATGTGTAAAAATTGATAATTCGATACTTTTCTGCTCAAACCATTTTCAGTCGTTTGTTGCAGCTTATGAAATGACTGAGAAAGGTCTGGCTGCCAAGTTGCCGTGACCAGTTATAATAGGCCACTGCCGACCATTCTTGTTTCACTACTTAAGTACTTATTCTTTTTCAATGTAGGGACATCACAGGCATCTTTTGTCATAGACAACCTGCTCGAGTTGCGTGTCTTATCCACTGCCCATCGATTAAAGTTCGTCGCAGGAAGGTGGCTCTGCCTTTCCTGGTCATATTTTACTCTCCCTACCTGGCCCACAGATTACGTAGTCAATAATAAAAGGCCTGGAAAGTCTACCAAATATCTTCCTTGTAGATCTTCCACATTCTTCTTTTACATTTTATACGACATTCAGCAGTAGCATGTTGCAGTGCAGAGCATCTATAAACCAAAGCATTTGCAAGGGGGAAAGGCATTATCCATTGTTCGAACAAAGAAATGTATCAGCATTGTCATATTCACAAATTAGAATTTTTACAAGTGGAGTTAAAGTTAATTAGTTTCCAAGATGTTACTGACAAACTTTTGTTAAAATACTAACTACATATTTTTTAGTAGTTGATTTTGCAATAGTTCTCAATTCATGAAATTTAGCAGCAAACGTTTAAGAAAATTGACAACTTTTCCTACAGCGACGTCAGGATCACTGCCCTTGAGCAATTGCTCTCCTAAAGATGCAGGGTTTATTAAGAACAAGGCAGAAATAGTTTTTGTATTGCGTTTCACGTTTGCAACATTACAGATATATATACACAGCTTATGCTCATAGATGGCAGGGCGGTAAATGTGGATTCCTTGATTTGTGCTCTTAGCAAAAAGTCTTCCTCAATGTTAGCTGCTATTTTCCTTGACTTTGGTGTGTGATTGAACCTCTGATGGAGCCTTAATCTGAGAGCATAATCTGTTCATTGGAGGAGGTAATCTGTCCTTGACTGAATCGGTCGACAGATTCTCCTTAATAGGGCTGACCTCCGTATTCTAAGCTGTCAATTTGTTCCAAGAGAGGGCGCTGACCATGTACGTCAAGATAATTGGAGACCAATCGGAACCCTTGATTGC